TCTTTCCCATCCATGTACAGAATAAATTTTGTTATGTGCACCAAGGCCGGTGTGACTGTGCACCACAACTTAGCTGTGGGCGCTCTGCTAATCAGCTGGGTGGCAGTGGAATCTCTCCTAAGCAGCTGTACAAGCATCCAGCTTATGGGGAACACTGCTCCTGTATTGCCTCTTGCTCGCAAAACTCTGGGTCATTCACTTGAATTTTAGTCCTGACATTCTGTTTTTGCCTGTAGTGCTGTGGAATTGCTTCTTTCCAGTATTAACTGAAAAGTGGGGAGTGGCTATTGCCAACATTTCAGGGGGAAGATGCTGGAATTGATGACCTCCGCAGAGGAGGGAAGCCGGAGCGTGGTGATCTCAAATCGGTGTTCATTCTGCTTTGGTCTTGGGTGAACACTCTGGGTGCAGAGCTTCCAGCCAGGGAGCATGTCACTGAAAAAAGGAAACAGAGGTTGCCTTTCTGATTGTGTTTCGCTTTGTGAGTCACCCTTGGCCAGACAACCCAAAAGAACCAACTTGACTCTGTGTGTAAAGCAGGAATAACCTTATTGGTTACGCACAGATAACCTGGCACTCAGGTCAGGGTGAGAGGAATCAGAAAGCGACAGTCCTTGCCTCACTGAGAATAAACTTCTTTCACTCCTGTTGGTAACCGGTGCTTCACGGGAGAGACCTTTGACTTAGGACTGCAGCCTAGATGAGCAGTAGTATCTCATGCCTAGTTGTTACGCAGGCTGTTCACGGAAGGGACGAGCAATGTATATGTAATGTATGACACTGTCAGAATGAGTTTGGGCTGAAAATTTGGCTCTTTACAAGTTTCAGTGGCTTGCTGCTGAGAAGATGGCTGCCAGAAACCTGTGCTGACTAGTTAATAATGTCTCTTCCATTAGAGGACACTATCATTCATGGAATCAATACTGGTGCATCCTCGGTAGCAGTTTTGTTGTAGTAAATCCATCATGGCCCGCAAGCCCTAAACATGCATGTCCACCTGTGGGTCAGATCAGGTGGGGGCAACACCTGGATGGTTCTCAGCTTCCAGTTGTTGGAGGAATTCTGCTTGTTGGAGTAGTTCTGCTCTGAGGCAGGAAAACGGCCTGGCCTTTGCATTTAGCTTGATGGCGGAAACTCTTGGAAAGCTGCTTAAGTGTCACAGGGTGATGTTATCTCAGCACGTCTGTCTTTGTCGCTGTGCGGTGACAGTCTGTGTCATGTGGGAGCACAAACAGCACCCTCCTGAGCTGCTTGAAGTGGCAAGAGAAGATACTTGTGAGATACTAGTGGAGTAAGGCGTTTTGTCCCCCCCCACCCCCAGTTCTTGGCCTTGACTTTAATCAGCGCTGTCCTTAACATCATCCTTCCTCAAAGTGAAAACTCAGGCAGGGATGGGTCCATCCGCAGATGCAGCATTCCACTCTCCTGTGAAACGTTTGCCTAGGAAAGGTATGAAACACGAGCTCTGAGTTTCCTGGCATATGCCAAACCAGATGGGAACAATCTGGAGACCTGCACAGGAAGATTCACCAGAGAGGAGAACTCATTGATGGTGCTTTCCCAAAAAAGGTCTGAAGTCTTCATCTGATTCTGCCACTTCCCTTGCCACTCCCTTTCCTGTTAGAGGAGGTACTCGGGGTTTTTTTTTTAATTCTTTTCTTCAGATCCGCGGGTCTGTTTAAAGGCTCCATGTAAACGGAGATGCTGTATCAGGAGTTATAGCAGGGCTGCTGCAGGAGGGGCGCACAGAATGGCTAGATTGAAGGTATCCATCCGCAGAACAGGTACAGCATTGGTCTTGCTGAACTGATTCAAGACACCCGCCCAGCTTCTCTGCAGTGCTCAGCACAGAATCAGCTGGAAGGGAGGTAGTTTTATGTCCTCTTTGAAGTTCCCCAGTCCTGGTTAACGTAACTTAGAGCAGTGACAGGCCTGCTTTCTTTTGTGTGTGTGTGGGGGGGGTGTGTGTGGGGGGGGGTTAATAAGACTGGGACTTTTTCAGCTTGGAAAAGAGACCGCGAGACCACTAATGGGTGGGAGGGGATATGCTATCGGTCTTTACAGTCATGACTGGTGTGTAAAAAAAAGTAAATAAGGAAGTATTATTTAGTCCTCATAATGCAAGAACTGGAGGCTCACCAAATGCAATTAATAGGCAGCAAACCAAAGGAAGTATCTCTTCACAGAATGCACAGTCAACCTGTGGAACTCCTTGCCAGAGGATGTTGTGAAGGCCAAGATTATAACAGGATTTGAAAAAGAGCTAGATCAATTCATGGAGGTTAGGTCTATTGATGGGCAGGGATGGTGTCCCTAGCCTCTTGTTTGTCAGAAGTTGGGAATGGGGGACAGGAGATCAATCACTTGATTCCCTGTTCTGTTCATTTCCTCTGGGGGCACCTGGAATTGGCTGCTGTTAGAAGAGAGGATACTGGGCTAGAGGGACCTTTGGTCTGGCCCAGAATGGCCGTTCTTGTCATGACTGCTAGGAGCTGGCTCTGGATTATTGAGGTTTAAAGGGGCAGCCTGTAAGAAGCCAACTTCTCTGCTGCTTTGCACAAAGAAACTAAAAATCCAACCTAACCACTGCTAGCCACAAGGAGGGTGAAAATCACTCGCTATGCCCTTCCAAATATTGGTACTTCCAAAGCTGCCGAGTTTATTCTGGCTAGTTTGGGGTGCTAGCAGTGTGTAATGACTTCTACTAAGGATTCCAGTGAGTCTGAGCTTTGAACCAGCAACCTGGGGAGAAGGGCAGTTGGATCTCATGACGGCTCTTTGAACGCACTCGGTCCCTTCTCTCGATTGTTTAGAACTAAGCGGGTTCTCTCTTGTCCTGTACAGTCCTGCTGGAGCCGAGATGTGTCGGTCTCTCTCTTTCTCAGGGATTTCTCATGTGATAACACGTGGTGTGACCTGGGCCCATGTGAAGTCCGTGCTCTAAGTCAAGCCAAAACTTTCCAACTCTGCCACCTCTTGGTACTCTCTTGCTAACACCCTACGTTCTCCTGATCTCTCTTTTCATAGGATAGCCTTAAAGTGATACTAGGCTCCACTTCGATTCCACGGTCTCTCTCTTTCTCAGGGATTTCTCATGTGATAACACGTGGTGTGACCTGGGCCCATGTGAAGTCCGTGCTCTAAGTCAAGCCAAAACTTTCCAACTCTGCCACCTCTTGGTACTCTCTTGCTAACACCCTACGTTCTCCTGATCTCTCTTTTCATAGGATAGCCTTAAAGTGATACTAGGCTCCACTTCGATTCCAAATGTAGGTGAACTAATTGTTGTTTCTGTCGATCCGGGATTGCTACAAGCATCATAGGCAACAACGGTGTGCTCTTTGGTACCAACCTGGGGGTGTGTCTAGACCAGGGGCGGCCGTGAGCCTAGGCAAACTAGGCAGTTGTCTAGGGCGCCACATGATGATGTCACGGGGTGCCCCGTGATAGTGTCACGGCCATTGACGGCCATGCAGGCGGGGGCGCCGATCGCGCCTCTACCTAGGGCGCCAGCTGCCGCATCCAGCCTCAGGCTGCTTCTGGTCTAGACTACAGGGTTTTGTTGACAAAAGTCCACTTTTGTCGACAAAACTACACCTGTGGCTGCACTGCCGCTGAATTCTGTTGACAGAACTCAGCAGTTTTGTCGTTGGCAGTACACCTCATTCTACGAGGAATAACGCCTTTTGTTGACAGAAGCCGTTATTGCATCTACACTGTCATATCGACAAAGCAGCTTGCTTTGTCGACAGAACTGGATATAGTCTAGACTCTTTGTCGACAGTATCTGTTGACAAAACTTCTGTTGACAAAAGCCTGTAGTCTAGACATATCCTAGGAGTCTAACCCAAGCCATAAAACAGGGGTGGGGACCTAAGGCCCAAGGACTGAATGTGACCCATGGCTTGCCTGGATGTGCCCCCCAAGGCTCCTCCCCAGCATTGGGGAGCCACT